GAACTAGTTTTTTAGTCTGGATCCGTTAGTTCGAATTAGCTTAGTTTGAATTAACTAATTCGAACTAAGTTAGTTCGAATTAACGTTGTAGTGTAGACATTCCCTTTCACACAGACAGGCATGACTACAAAGATTAACCACTATGACCCCCAGATTCCCTTCTGCAGTACTCCTCCCTAGACAGTCACTTCCCATTCTGTATGTGTTCTACTGCTTGTTCCTTCCTCAGTGGAGATTTTTACGTATGTCCTTATTGAATTTCATTCAATTTACTTCAGACCATTTCTGAAGTTTGTCCAGATCATTTTGACTTTTAATCTTATCCTGCAAAGCACTTGGCAACCTTTCCCAGTTTGGTATCATTCACAAACTTTATAAGTGTATTTCCTATGCCATTATCTAAATCACCAATGAAAATCTTGAACAAAACTGTCTGCAAAACGGATCCCTGCAGGAACCTATTCGCTATGCTCTTCCAGTATGACAGTTAATCATCGATAACTACTCTCTGGGAACCCTTATCCAACCAATTACACATCTAGGTTGTAGCAGCTCCATCTAGGTTATATTCCCTAGTTTGTTTATGAGACGAGCATGTAACACAGAATCAAAAGCCGTACTAAAGTGAAGATATACCACATCCTCCCTATCTGCAAGGCTTGTTACTCTGTTAAACTATCGGGTTAGTTTGACACAATTTGTTCTTGACCAATCCATGCTGACTGTTATTTATCACCTTATTATCTTCTAAATGTTTGCAAATGGATTCCTTAAGCATTTGCTCCATTATCTTTCTGACTATAGAAATTAAGTTGACTGTCTGTAACTCCCTAGATTGTCCTTATTTCCTTTTTTATAGATGGGCACTATAGTTACCTTTTTCTGGTCTTCTGGAATCTCTCCCACCTTCCATGACTTTTCAAAGGTAATTGCTAATGGCTCGGATATCTCCTTAGTCAGCTCCTGGAGTATTCTAGGATGCATTTCATCAGGCCACAGTGACTTGAAGACATCTAATTTGTTTAAGTACATTTTTACATTTTCTTTCCTTGTTTTAGCCTCTAATCCTACCTCATTTTCACTGGTATTCATTATGGGTGTGTCTAGACTACAGGGTTTTTTCGAAAAAAGTGACCTTTTTTCTAAAAAACTTCCCCTGCATCTTGACTGCCGCTGCATTCTTTCGAAATTAAATCGAAAGAACGCAGCAGTTTTTTCGACCATGGCAAACCTCATTTTACGAGGAAGAGTGCCTTTTTCGAAAGTGCTCTTTCGAAAAAAAGTGTTCTTGAACGCAAACAGGGCTTTTTCAAAAGAGAGCATCCAGACTGCCTGGGTGCTCTCTTTTGAAATAGAAGCTTGCTTTTTCGAAAGATGTGGTTGTAGTCTAGACAGTCTCTTTTGAAAGAGGCTGGTAGTCTAGACGTATCCTAAGTTAAATGCTCAATTACCGACATCCTACTTCATGAAAATGGAGACAAAGGAGTCATGAAGCACTCTTGCTTTCACCACATTTTTTGTTATTGTTTTTTTTCTCCTTAAGTAATGGGCCTCCCCTATTCTTGATCTCCCTCTTGCGCCTAACATATTTGTAAAATGTTTTCTTGTTATCCTTTATGTGTCTGGCTAATTTGATATCATTTGGGGCCTTGGTCTTTTTAATTTTATCCCTATGTATTTGTTTTATTTATATTCATCCTTTATAATTTGACATAGTTTCTGCTTTGAGTAGGACTCTTTATTTTGATTTTTTGAAGATCTCTTGGTTAAGTCAGAGTGGTCTCTTGCCATTCTTCCTCTCTTTCCTATGCAGTGGGATAGTTTGCTCTTGTGCTCTTAGTAATGTCTTTTTGAAAAACTGTTTACTCTTTAACTGTTTTTCCTTTGAGACTTGTTTCCCATGGGATCTTATCTACCAAATCTTTGAGTTTTCTGAAGTCTGCCTTCTTGACAGTCATTGCCTTTATTTTGATGTTCTCTCTCCTACCATGCCTTAGAATTAGGAATTCTACCATTTCCTGATCACTTAGACTCAAGCTACCTTCTACTTTCAAATTCTCAACCGGTTCTTCTGAATTTGTCAAAATCAAACCTGGAACAGCTTCTCCCCTAATAACTTTCTCCATTTTCTGAAATAAAAAAAAATATTAAAAATTGTCTCCTATACATTCCAAGAACTT